CGTAGAATATTTTTCGAACTCGGGGTCATTTTTCAAACTTTTTAAGAAAAATATGACCCCCTTGGTCAATAATTATGGGGGTTCCACTTTTTCGGTCGTTAAAAAACACCGGGTGGGGTTTTTTCGGGGCCCTTTTTTTTTGGGCTTTTTGGTTTTTTTAAAACATGTAGTTGTATTGATGTTTGAGGTTGTAACACTCAATAAATTCTAAACTGTACTCTCTCGTCAATTGTTTATAATTTTCAATTATAAATCGCAGACTTAAAAATTCAGGCACATGCTTTTGTTATAATAAATTTTCTAGCCCATAGTTGAATAATATACGGGTTTAAAATTTATTACAAAAACAAGTGCCTATTATAAATGTCCCAGATACCGCGGCGTTTTTTTTTTTAGCTTTATTGAATATATTTTTTCACTGTATGAATGAAAATGAAAACAAAATTTTGTAATTTGATTTAAACATTCAGGAATTGAAAGCTATACAAAAAAAGACCTTTTTCATATTTTCTTGAATTTGGTAAGTTGCATGTCAACATATCTAAGTTGACATAAATACATTTTTTTGTTGCATACTATAGACAAAAATCTGTAAATGTAGATATCACGAAGTTAAATAATTCCTAATTATAAGTGTTTTATTTTGTCAATTGCTAAATTGATATTATTCTCCCATGTTTTGTTTGTTATATGTTGTTGAACGTCCCTCTCGAGAATTTTTCACTCATATGGAGACGCCACCACTTGCCGGTGGAGAGCTTCAAAATTTGTCCTATACTCGGTACTTACGGCCATTGATATAATAAATTAAAATTCTAATGTAATCCTGCATAAACGTAGTGGTGTCGAGGATTGAAGTTACACTGTACATAAAGAATATCTCTATGATCTTATCTACACTTAAATTTGACTTTTTTGGGGTTTTTTTAAGTTTATACAGCGTACCTGAGATGCTCAGATGATTAATGAACAGCGACCCAACGATTGAGGTAGTGTATAAACATCAAGAAGCGCCAAATGTATAACACCAACTCCATAGAGCAGTAAGGATAACAAAAAGTGGATTATAAACGCAGCTATTAAGGTAACAATTGTCTCTCGTGAATTCACAAACTGCACTGTGCTTAAAAATCGTGAAGAAAGATGTCATGCCTACATTTCAAGAGAAAGTTGCAGAAACTTGCGATTATTCCCTATATCAAGATGTATGAAGAGCCTTGTCTAAATAAAGATATATTTAAGTAGATGAATATCGTTACGAGGGGTATTTCCAGATTGATATAGTAAAAACACTACATATTTTACGTTTATCGTATGTCTTGTAGACATTTTGGTGCTTTAATATCCTACTTTAAAATTATTTTTAAGAATACAGGTACATGTATTTGGGAAAAGGCTCTGTGGAAATGAAATGTTTTTTGATCTTAAAAAACAGTTAATTCATCATGAAATTGCATATTTTGGAACAAGGGATTGCTTTATATGAAATATTAAAATAAAAACTTTAACTTCAGGCCATTTTTCGTAGGAATATTAATGATACATGTATATGGAAATATGACACATTTTATGACGTTATTCTACATTCGTGGCTTTTTTCATAAAAATTTTACATTTTACGACTCAGACTAAAGTTTCACCATAGCGTAAAATTTTATTTAATGACTTTTTTTTCAAAATAATTATGATAAAGATGAAATTAATTAAATCTAGGTCATAATAGTGCTAAAAAATACCCTTATCTATGTCATACTGCTTCCGTAAACAATAATTCATCTTTTTGTGTATGGTGACATCGATTTAGCTTGATTAGGACATTTAGATTTTCAGTTATTGTATTAAATTTTCAGTTCAAATTAATTAAGTTAGACATCATGGTCCAAAATTTACAAACGCAACGAAGAAATAAATTGAATTTAAACAATTGCACTATTTAATTGAGTCATTTTATTGTACTCCCCTGTGCTTCATGTATTACCGTTGTGCTATTGGTCGCTCACCTCTGTAGTTGATAGATAAGTGATCTTATGTGATCTTACGAGGTCAATATATATACTATAATTTTTTTTATTTAATCAATAGTGTAGCTGTACATTTGAAATCTGTTGGACATTGATAAATTTAACAAATTTATAAAATCCATGGAGTCGATACCATTCAAAAATACAGTTTCACTTAATGCAATAGAATGTTGACCTTTGTTTCAAATTACACGTGGTACACCAGTATCATATAATGACAATTTCTAAAATGAGGTACATCATTGTCAAGGAAGTTGATGGAAAAAGAATATCAGCAGTCTCATTTGCATGCTAATTGTTAGGTCAATATTTAAACAATGAATTGTCGGCGGATTTTTCGTTTGTTTTTTTTCGCTCATGACAAGGAGCACACGGCGGGTGTAACCGGTCAGCAGGGGATGCTCACTCCTCCATTGAACATACTTTAAACATATTTTATTGAATAACACAATAAGGGTTGGGCAACAGGCAAGGCCCATGTACACCCTCTCCTTGTATAATAGGTCAAGATACAATAGTTAGTAATAATACATGTACACGATAATAAATAAGATTATAATGAAAAATAAAGATTCACAATCAAGTATTATTTATATCAATATTATATTTCAAAAAAGATGACGACCGCTAACTGTAAACATATTATTTACATACTGTTCCAGCTTAAAATTAATACAAATATTTGGAAAAAATTATGCATTTAATAAAGTATTTAATATAACAGTGTTCCTAATTTAGTCTCGTAGAAGATTTAATAAATTCTTTATACATATGAAAATATTTTGCAATTTGTTCGATAAGAGTATTGACATTTTCCTCTTAGCAGAGTGTCAAGTTCAAAAACAACATCAACAATATCATATTTTTTTTACCAATAAGTTTTTTAACAACATATGAAAATATTTTAATTTCAACATCATATGATGACATGATTGCAATTGATATATTTTCCTTTTATATTAAGTGTAGCATTGGAACATGATTCCTTCCCTGATCTCCTTAAGGGGGGACCTATGTTCAAAAACAACATCAACAATACATGATTGAATATTTTTTACAAAATTTTTTTCAAATATTAGCATAGAGTTTCAAAGATGATATGCTGATAAAAATGCAAAAAAATATATAGATAAAATTCAGCATTAAATCAGGGAAATATGTTTAATTTTATGATTACCATTCATTGTATTTTCTGGATAAAACAGTACTTGTACCTATATTTTATTGATTTATTTAGATTTTATTGTATAAAATCTTTCCTAGGTTCTATTAGGTGTTGGTTGTTGACGGGGAAGGGGGGGGGGGCAGATTGATTAGAATGAAGAAGAAAAGAGTTTATCCTTATCAAAACAAAATACTCGTTTATTGCAAAATAGATTTATATGCAGATGTTTAACAGTACTAACTTACCTTTTTTTAGTGCAGAAAGGTCAATATTTATGACAGAAGAGTACGAAAATAAAAGAAAACGTCATATTTCTCGTTTTTTATATCATAAAGGTATACTTTTTTCTTTGTTAAAATAAAGAGAGGGGTCATTTCTTTCAAAAATATTAATCACAACATTTTCACACAAAGACTTTTTTAAGATATTACCTGTTATGCATGTCGGAATTGTAAAAAATACGACAAGAAAAACGGGGTGATACTTACATTGTGCTCCTTTATAATTTTTCATGCGAGGTGAATTACAATGAATTTGCCTTCATTTTAAAAATACAAGTCATATAAATTAAATACATGTTGATTTCCATTTTTGGTTCTTTTTAGCGCATATTTGGAGTAGAACATGCATTTCACTGTTTTTGCCGTGCTCCTGTGTAATTTATATTGTTTTTTATACCTAAAAATTAAAAGCAAGTGGTCTCCACACAAAGACTTTTCGGAAATAACGTTCGTGATATCCATATTTTTTACATGTATAACTAAAGGCAGATAAAGCTATTCCATGTATTTAATGATACCCACTTATCATCGCTGTTTTGGCCTTAATTTATCAACTGACTCCAAAATAACTTTCTCTACGAGCAAAATGATCCTTTTACGACAGTTTATGAGCCATGGTAATTTTTTTTACAACCAATTCAAAACAGAAGTTACCCTGATATCCTTCGAGTCATGTTTAAAATATTCACAAATCAGACTTACATTAAACAAGTTTAAATTTACACTCTACAGTATCTCCTTACTCGGCTTCAGAAGGTACTAGAATTTTTAATATATCAACAGGACATACTACTTCTTGCGCCTTTTTACGCAAACTCTACATTTATTTCATTTTAAATTGTGTATGGTACATATGCTACCTGGAGTATCTAGAGAGTCTATGAGAAGAAAAGCACACCCGAGGAAAAATATTCTCACATGATATAGATTGATTTATTGATGTTACGTCACCACCTACCGGTCAAGAGCTTTTTTAGTCTTTAAATCGACTTAGGACGATTTAAAAGTGAGAGATCGCAATGGTGCCGTCACCAGCTGAGGTACAGGACCTCAATTTAAGGTCTTTTTCGAAGAACCCACAAGTTTCATTTCAAAGGAGCAAGCGCTTGGCGAAGAAACAGTTGCTACCTATTTTTATCGATTTAATCGCGGCCGGGGCTCGAACCCACAACCTTCCAATCACGGAGCAAGAGATCTGCCGATTAAAGATCGATGTCATTAAAAAAAATTGTGCACATTCTTGCCATTTTTTCAAATTAAAAGTAAATATGTGGAGATAACGAACAGTATTTGAGCCCAAAAGTCCATTAAACAGTACAAAATAGGAGCAGAGCAAACATGGCCTTCCAAAACATTAGACATGGGATCAGTTGCCATGGAGGAGTAAGCATCCCTAATTTAGACATCTTACTAAGGTTGATAAAGTGCACGTTGACGATGTTGCAGTTTAAAATGACGTGGTGCTTCTCGATATTCAGCTCCTTCAAAAATATATCGATTTATTTGCAAAAGTACAAAAAAAAAATTGGATCTGGTAAATAAAAATTGAAAAATCAATTTAATATACTTCACTGGGACTTTTTAAAATTGTCAACTGTCAGTATCACTCAATGGAACAACTCTGATTTCCTGAATCTGTAAAGGTGTAAATTCGTTTAAATGATCCATGTTTTGATCGAAACGTGTAAGCAGTTTCTTTCTGGATATGGGTGTGAAATTTTCGAGTTCAAGTTCAGATGAAACTTCAATTGTTTTAGGGGATACATCATCATTCAATGTATATTTGTCCATAAATAGACTTTCAACACTAGTTTTACTAAGAACGTTTTTGTTGCCAAATTCTTGAGATCCTTGATGCAGTTGTGTCGTGTTTCCGTTGTCAATAATAACGGTGAAGGAACCTGAAAAGTATGCTGATCCGGAAAGAAAACGGCTTTCCTTAAAGTCCACAAAGGAAGCGGTCTTTTCAACGTTGTCTGTAGCCTTGTGCCATAGAGATGCACAGAGACTTACAAATGCACCTAGAATACATATTGACCCTGGAATGAATCGATTTAAATAATTATAAGTCTTTTGTGATATTCCCATTCAATAGAAATGAATATAAACTGTAGTGTTTTAAAATTCACAAAACACAATTATTTGTAGAATTACAAATGTAACCTCTCGGAGAAATTCTGCCATATTTCTGAACTTCAAGTATTTTTTTTTTCTTGATTTGAATTATCAAAATAATTTCATTCAATGGAAACAACATATTACTTACCTGATATGAAAAACAGCACCTGATATGAAACATTGTTATCAATTAAAAATCCTGTAAAGAGATAATATATACAGTTTACTAAACCTTGGAAAGGAATGCGTAATTTGCTATTCTTTGTCATTTCAAAAGCATCTATCATAATTAAAGTAAAAATATCACCTAAAACAGTTGTATTTACCTGCAAATGGTCCTCCTAATATCCACGCAATCCCCGCCCAAGTAAAATATAGTCCTACAGCTGTTGAGAGTTGAGATATACCCACTATTTCTATACACAGAGGATTAATTAATACAGTAAGGCCCCCACTGTAAATTCCTGTTATAAGAGAGTATATGTTTTGACCAATATAATCCGTACAATAAAGTGGAAATGTAGCTGTCGTCAGACCAAAAATTCCAAGAAATCCAAAGTTGAGAAGCAAAGGGTCTATTCCACCTGGACCTAACACCATCCCTGCTAGAAATCTGTTAAGAGTACTCCCTACCCCAATCATTGTGATCAATGAGGCTGCTTGCATATCTGTGGCACCATAGACAACTGAAAACCGCGGTAGATGAATGAACAAAATGGCAAAGGGGACATTCCATAAAAATGAGCAGGTCAAAATACAAAGAAATGGCTTATTTTTAAGAATATCACAGCGAGAGTCGCACATTTTTCTATTTTCTGAGGTGGTTTTACTAGAATGCTTGTACGACATTTCTATTTTTGTTGGCCTCATCAAAGCGCCAAATACAATATTTTGACCTCCAAAGGCACCTAAGATGAGCAAAGCTCCTCGGAGTCCATACTGATCAATCAGATATTGGATGAAAGGACCTGATGCAAACATCCCTAGTCCTGCACCTGCTACATTCAAACCAACAGCGATTCCACGATATTTCTTGAAGGAATATCCCACAACAATAACAGCTGTTATTCCGCTAAAACCAAGGCCAGTTCCTATGAAAAATAAAGTGTTAAAGCATCAATGGTAGAAATTATAAATAGCGAATAAATATCCTTCCTTTACGATAAAAAACTATTTATTTTACCTTCGTGCATTAATATACCTTAACTATCAAATGAATCACTATACATATAATTCATCGGGTATTTTTGAAAAAAGGTAGCAGAATAACTTACATTTCATACCTGCAATAACTCCAAATGTGAATATTAAAGTAATTAGATTTGGAGCAAAGTAGCTTGAACAGAGCCCGGTAAATATACAAACTCCCGATATAATGTCTGCTACTCTACAGCTCCATTTATTGATGACAAAGCTCACTAAAGGTCCTGTAAATGCATTTTTGTGATTTAAAGTCAATCTATTCATATTAAACAGGAAATTTGAACAAAAATAATTCTCTCTCTCTCTCTCTCTCTCTCTCTCTCTCTCTCTCTCTCTCTCTCTCTCTCTTAATAAATAAATAAATAAATAAATTACCTAGAAGACTAAGCAGACTACCAAACACAGATCCCACCAGTGATGTCAATGTTAAATCCCCTTGAAATTCATTTAGGAATGCGTTGTGAAACACTCCAACCCCGTAACCCAACACCCCGGTTACAAACTGAGTGCCGAATGCCGCCATCATGATCACCCAGGCCCATCCGTTATCGACATCCCGCATCTGAAATAAGTTATTATGTTGTTCAAATTATGTTTTATTTTTTATTTCCAGCTTTTTGCTTGTTTTAGAGAGTCATATCATATCCAAATTTGGTACACAAATTTTAACAACAAATTCGAATTAATTTAAGTAGAAAAATTGGAACATATCTTCATATTTATAAAAGTTATCGAAGATTTAGAACAGCAAAAACAATGGCACGGAGCAATGTCAAAATTGAGTAATTTACTAATTTTCACTTTATAGTATCTTAAGCCATACTCTAATAAATGGGGGTGAAACGAAATTTAAATTACATGTTTGAATTTAGTCTTGCTGTATTACTTAAGATGCTGTCAGGTAATGTCATATATCGCTCCGTTTTAAAGATTTCAGTTTCTTAACACATATGGACTTGTTTAAGAATGGCAAAAAAAACACATGACGTTGGAGGACGTCACGGAGCAGAGAGTAGCAATAAAATTTTGCTTTGCATTCGGGAAATTTCTTTAACAAACTTGAAAAATTCTGTACAAACCAGGAAATATATGAAAATAAGCGGTGTATTTGTATAAATATGGAAAATTCAATTTTTGAGTGGTAGCGAGTTTGAATCGGACGATGGATGGACTGCAAAGAAACAGGTTTTAGTTAAAAATCTTGTCAAAAGAACGTCATTAAACGAACGTGATTTGCGTTTCATTGTTGCAGAACTAATTGAGTTACATGTACGCGGTAAAGAATTTGAAGACACTGATAACCTTGTTCAAGCTATTTGCACAATTGTTAGCAAACTAGATGTTAAGTGTTATGGATACGTTTTTGTGAATGGAGAAAATGCTACAAACCGTGCATGAAATTAAAAAGCAGAGTAATTTTGAGAAACTTTCTCGGCGTTGGTTTTGACGTTACAATGTTGGTTAACCGTGCTCCGTGGTAACAAAACATGCTGCTTTAAAAATTGGCTAACTTGAGTTCTATTTGATCAAATGGAATAAACCTTCACACTTCTACAAAATAAATGTTCATATTTACGATAATGTGTTCATATATCATCTTGTAATAATAATAGGACGATGAGGAACATAATCTACGTATTTTTTGAATGACCCTCGTATATATACATGTACGTTTTACATGTTTTATTTCGTACATTATTTTGACAAATAACAGGTTGAGGTCATTATACAACTTTACTTTGTTATGTAAAAGAATATTTGTATTAGGTTTTTGGATCTCCCCATTTATTGTATTGTTACATTGTTATACACATTGTCATTTTGAATAAATGACAATTCACACAAATCTTGTGTTGTAATATTTTATCCGAAGAGAAAGGTGTTGGTATATTTGTATCTAATTAATAATTGAACAACATATATTACATAAATATGAATCTATAGAAAAACTTTTGCATATTTAGAAATTGAGCAATTTAAATTGTCGAAAAAAGCACAAAATCAATGTTACATTATATTATTGCCATATACTTGTAATCTAATTATCATTACGTCAATTCCTGACCGACTATTTTCATACGAATTGTTAGACTATTATTTATATACTGAACTCTCTTAGAGGTTTTTTTTCGCTTTTTGTTTTCATTATGACAAGGAGTAAACGTTAGATGTGACCGTTCCAGGGGATGCTCACTTTCCCATGGCACCTGATTTCACCTCTTCTCTAATGCATTAGTTGTTTTTTCTGATACTTATTTGTTGTTTTTTTTTGAAAGGAATTTTTTTTTAGCTTGAATGATGTTTGTTACCATCATATGTCAGAGGCCTTGTTTCTCTTCGGTGTCAAACACCGGGATATAAAAAAGCGATTGTTTCTTTTTAAAGTCAATATGACAGGCGAGGAATCAATTTAGCTAAAACTAGGGTGTTTGAATTTAGGGTCTACGTTGAAAGATTTCATAGATGAATGGAGATGAAATACTTTTTGAATTACCCTTCCTTGTCCATATCCTTTAATACAGTAAATCAATCTAGGTTGTAGCGTGTTGTATTAATTTTAATCAACATGGTCATTATTCGAATTGAAGGTAACTTTGGATATATGTAATCTGTTGTAATAAACAAATGTTTATAATAGTTCACTTTAAGTAATTCATTGACCGGTCTATGATAAAAGTTCCATAACTTCTTCATTTAAACTACAATCTGTAGATACTATTGTTCTTTTTTTTCTTGTGAGTGTTTCAACCCGGGGTGATTAATATCCTTTCAAGGAGAATAAACTTTATTTTCTTTACTTACTTTTAACTTTTAAGCTGTTAATAATACCAACGCCTGATCATAAAGTCTTCCACTTGTGAACGTGTTACACACACAATCGTTTTTCTGAAATAAATTCGTTAGAATTAGTATTGTCCCTGGATGAATGAATCTCTCTCTGTTAAATTATTAAGATAAAACGTAGCTTTTAAAATAAAACAGGCGAAGAAGATAACAACAGTGATCGATTTCTAAACTTCATAAGCACGGCATAGCAAAAATGCATAAAACAGGTACTAAATAAACTTTAAATATAACACGATCTAAAGCTTTTTGTTGCATTGAAAAAATAAATCAATATTATTACTATTATTATGTCATTTAGCCTGAACTAGCTGTTGAAATCTTTTGAATCTCAGAAGCATATTTAAATGCTCTAGTGAAGCATACAGTGATTATGCGCTGATAAAAAGAGAATATTCAATTTTAAATGCTTCGATAAAAATTAATACCGGTATTGAAAGTAAGAAAGGGATTTTAAATATTATTAAAATGAACAGAATTTGCAGCTTACCATCGTCTTTGTCTCTGTTCGGCCAAGTATGCCCTGTGAGCTATCGATATGTTATTCTGTGCTACCAAACAATATGCAGGCTGGCTAAACAATGTATAGTTAGGTAACACGGCACGTGCTATCCATTAGTGAAAATCCCATTGGACATTGAATTTTTTTCCCCTCTCCTACACTAGTTTAAATATACAAAATCCCATATCTGAATTATAATCGATAGAGGTTATCCGTGTAAAATTGTCATTTTGATTCAATATGAAGGTGATGTTGAAAAGAGATTGTTCTAAAAAATGGTTTCAGAATAAGAAAACCTATTCAGATTTAATCAAGAAAACCTCTTAATCTAAATGGCGTTAAGAAAGTTCATTCTACATATTTCTATTATTTAAAAAAATATGATTAGTAGATATTTAAAAGTTGTTATATTTCATGTTCACAGAGTCCATTCTTGCTACTGATAAGGTTTTAACTATGTTTTGTTAAAAAAGGGGAGGGCAGGTATTGAAACTGATGAGGCATAATGCAGAAATATCAGGGATGTAGCAATTCTGTGACATATATAAAACGCATATAGGTCAATAAATTCTTTCAAAAAAACCTATGCAAAATTCTGAAAGTTATGTGGAAGCATCCTGGTATAGTGTAGATTCTAAATTGTTCAAATCATGACCCCGGGGGAAGGGCGGGGCCACAATGGGGAATCAAAGTTTTATATAGAAATATATAGGAAAAATCTTTGAAAATCTTCTTCTCAAGAATCACTAGGCCAGAAAATCTGAAAGTTATGTGGAAGCATCCTGGTATAATGTAGATTCTAAATTGTTCAAATCATGTCACCCGGGGGGAAGGGCGGGGCCACAATGGGGAATCAAAGTTTTATATAGAAATATATAGGAAAAATCTTTGAAAATCTTCTTCTCAAGAACCACTGGGCCAGAAAAGCTGAAACTTATGTGGAAGCATCCTGGTATAATGTAGATTCTAAATTGTTCAAATCATGACCCCCGGGGGAAGGGCGGGGCCACAATGGGGAATCAAAGTTTTATATAGAAATATATAGGAAAAATCTTTGAAAATCTTCTTCTCAAGAACCACTGGGCCATAAAAGCTGAAACTTATGTGGAAGCATCCTGGTATAATGTAGATTCTAAATTGTTCAATAATGCCCCCCGGGGGAAGGGCGGGGCCACAATGGGGAATCAAAGTTTTATATAAAAATATATAGGAAAAATCTTTGAAAATCTTCTTCTCAAGAATCACTAGGCCAAAAAAGCTGAAAGTTATGTGGAAGCATCCTGGTATAGTGTAGATTCTAAATTGTTCAAATCATGACCCCGGGGGAAGGGCGGGGCCACAATGGGGAATCAAAGTTTTATATAGAAATATATAGGAAAAATCTTTGAAAATCTTCTTCTCAAGAATCACTAGGCCAGAAAATCTGAAAGTTATGTGGAAGCATCCTGGTATAATGTAGATTCTAAATTGTTCAAATCATGATCCCCGGGGGAAGGGCGGGGCCACAATGGGGAATCAAAGTTTTATATAGAAATATATAGGAAAAATCTTTGAAAATCTTCTTCTCAAGAACCACTGGGCCAGAAAAGCTGAAAGTTATGTGGAAGCATCCTGGTTTAATGTAGATTCTAAATTGTTCAAATCATGACCCCCGGGGGAAGGGCGGGGCCACAATGGGGAATCAAAGTTTTATATAGAAATATATAGGAAAAATCTTTGAAAATCTTCTTCTCAAGAACCACTGGGCCAGAAAAGCTGAAACTTATGTGGAAGCATCCTGGTATAATGTAGATTCTAAATTGTTCAAATCATGACCCCCGGGGGAAGGGAGGGGCCACAATGGGGAATCAAAGTTTTATATAGAAATATATAGGAAAAATCTTTGAAAATCTTCTTCTCAAGAACCACTGGGCCAGAAAAGCTGAAACTTATGTGGAAGCATCCTGGTATAATGTAGATTCTAAATTGTTCAAATAATGCCCCCCGGGGGAAGGGCGGGGCCACAATGGGGAATCAAAGTTTTATATAAAAATATATAGGAAAAATCTTTGAAAATCTTCTTCTCAAGAATCACTAGGCCAAAAAAGCTGAAAGTTATGTGGAAGCATCCTGGTATAATGTAGATTCTAAATTGTTCAAATCATGACCCCGGGAAGGGCGGGGCCACAATGGGGAATCAAAGTTTTATATAGAAATATATAGGAAAAATCTTTGAAAATCTTCTTCTCAAGAACCACTGGGCCAGAAAAGCTGAAACTTATGTGGAAGCATCCTGGTATAATGTAGATTCTAAATTGTTCAAATCATGACCCCCGGGGGAAGGGCAGGGCCACAATGGGGAATCAAAGTTTTATATAGAAATATATATAGGAAAAATCTTTGAAAATCTTCTTCTCAAGAACCACTGGGCCAGAAAAGCTGAAACTTATGTGGAAGCATCCTGGTATAATGTAGATTCTAAATTGTTCAAATCATGACCCCCGGGGGAAGGGCGGGGCCACAATGGGGAATCAAAGTTTTATATAAAAATATATAGGAAAAATCTTTGAAAATCTTCTTCTCAAGAACCACTAGGCCAAAAAAGCTGAAACTTATGTGGAAGCATCCTGGTATAATGTAGATTCTAAATTGTTCAAATCATGACCCCGGGGGGAAGGGCGGGGCCACAATGGGGAATCAAAGTTTTATATAGAAATATATAGGAAAAATCTTTGAAAATCTTCTTCTCAAGAACCACTGGGCCATAAAAGCTGAAACTTATGTGGAAGCATCCTGGTATAGTGTAGATTCTAAATTGTTCAAATCATGACCCCCGGGGGAAGGGCGGGGCCACAATGGGGAATCAAAGTTTTATATAGAAATATATATAGGAAAAATCTTAGAAAATCAACTTCACAAGAACCACTGGGCCAGAAAAGCTGAAAGTTATGTGGAAGCATCCTGGTATAATGTAGATTCTAAATTGTTCAAATCATGATCCCCGGGGGAAGGGCGGGGCCACAATGGGGAATCAAAGTTTTATATAGAAATATATAGGAAAAAACTCTGAAAAACATAAACTCAACAAGATCTCGGAAAGAAAAGCTGAAAGTTATGTGGAAGCATCCTGGTTTAATGTAGATTCTAAATTGTTCAAATCATGATCCCCGGGGGAAGGGCGGGGCCACAATGGGGAATCAAAGTTTTATATAGAAATATATAGGAAAAATCTTTGAAAATCTTCTTCTCAAGAACCACTGGGCCATAAAAGCTGAAACTTATGTGGAAGCATCCTGGTATAATGTAGATTCTAAATTGTTCAAATCATGACCCCCGGGGGAAGGGAGGGGCCACAATGGGGAATCAAAGTTTTATATAGAAATATATATAGGAAAAATCTTTGAAAATCTTCTTCTCAAGAACCACTGGGCAAGAAAAGCTGAAACTTATGTGGAAGCATCCTGGTATAATGTAGATTCTAAATTGTTCAAATAATGCCCCCCGGGGGAAGGGCGGGGCCACAATGGGGAATCAAAGTTTTATATAAAAATATATAGGAAAAATCTTTGAAAATCTTCTTCTCAAGAATCACTAGGCCAAAAAAGCTGAAAGTTATGTGGAAGCATCCTGGTATAGTGTAGATTCTAAATTGTTCAAATCATGACCCCGGGGGAAGGGCGGGGCCACAATGGGGAATCAAAGTTTTATATAGAAATATATAGGAAAAATCTTTGAAAATCTTCTTCTCAAGAACCACTGGGCCAGAAAAGCTGAAACTTATGTGGAAGCATCCTGGTATAATGTATATTCTAAATTATTCAAAGCATGACCCCCGGGGGAAGGGAGGGGCCACTTTGAATCTTCTTCTCAATCAAAGTTTTATATAGAAATATATATAGGAAAAATCTTTGAAAATCTTCTTCTCAAGAACCACTGGGCAAAAAAAAGCTGAAACTTATGTGGAATCATCCTGGTATAATGTAGATTCTAAATTGTTCAAATAATGCCCCCCGGGGGAAGGGCGGGGCCACAATGGGGAATCAAAGTTTTATATAAAAATATATAGGAAAAATCTTTGAAAATCTTCTTCTCAAGAATCACTAGGCCAAAAAAGCTGAAAGTTATGTGGAAATTTTTCGTCATTTACTATTGAATAAATGACATTTTCATTCTCAGATATTTGTCCTGTCGTAATTGAAATAGAATTCTGAGCAAAACAAAGCTGCGGTGAGCTGTTTGTATCTAGGAAATAGTGAGAGACATAAAACATATTCTTGGACAAACTTTCTTAACACACCTTAGATCCATATTTTCTCATTTTGAGTTGATAGTCAAGTCTTTCAAAGCAGTCTCTGAATTGGTTTCCTCATATTGCACCAAACAAATATTTGTTAATATACATTTTTCTACCAATATTGAAATTTAACTCAAAATCAAGTCACATAGAATTATCTGCATTAAAGTAATAAAATGCTCAGTTTTTCTTTTGTACATTCTTTGTTACAGAATAGCACTCCAATTTCATCAGAAAAGAAAAGGAGTCAAATAATCCGTTCGAAAATTTTGCGGAACATGTTTTTCCTATATACAAAAGCAAGTCAGATTGCTTTTATTAACTCTAAGATCTTACGTGTTCCATCAATACATTTGTTTAGATGACATCAATGATTATGAAAAATACACTATAAATCATGTTCACTTTTGTTTTCTGCAGAGCTGTAGCTCTCTGCCTTAGAAAATTCGGACAAATAAAACAGAGAGTCACAGAACTAAGCATTGTAAAAACCTTCGATTCACGCTATTTACTCTATTTGTCGCTCGCTTCAGGTATAAATTCTTGTATTTTATTATTTCTTTTACTTTTAGAATACTATCCAATAATTAAGCATATATTTTACTATTGATACTTTATTGACCTTTCAACGATCGAAAACAGTCCTTCATGGTTTTGGAATGCCGTTTTATAAAAGATTCCCATTTCGACATCCGTTACTACAAAAGGCTTTTTGAAACCGTTGATAGGTAAATCAAATATCAGAAATAGGGGTTTAATACATGTATATGTTTAATTATCGGATACCTAATGAAAGCTTGGGAAAACAAAAACTACAAGAAATAATCCTCCAAGTGAGCGACAATAAAAAAAGGTGACGTAAATCGAAGGTTTACTTGATATTCTTTATTTATTGTAAGATTTAATTTGTATGATCATGAAATCTCCGAAAAGGGGAAATAAAGATTGAATGAATGAATGAGTTGAATATGCAGGTATGATTTCAGTGACATTGAGAAGATGATTAAAAATCAACTCAAGGATTAAACAACGTTTTACCCTCAAATACAGAAAAAAAAGTCCTTCGACTCCCATACTTTAAGAATCCAGTAAAATTAGAAAGTAATCATTTCTGATTGAAAGAAAAATGCAAAAATATTCAAACTAGAAGAACTAAATTCTTTACCTAGTCTATGTATAAATATAAAGAAATGAACCTTTATTTAAATGTATTTTCTTCATTTAAACAAGCAACACTGGTTTCTCTTGACCAGTACTATGTTACTTATGTTACTTTTGAAAATAATTGGCAGGTTTTAAACCTTGAAATGAAATACAAAGACTTAAATTTATAAGGAATTATTTTCTCCTTTAATAATATTTCATTTTTGTAGAAAGGGGCGTGTAGAAATTTTAATGATAATTTATTCTAGATATGTTAAAAATGTATTACTATTGATAAATTTAAGACCGAAACTAAGAGATTTATTAATAATAAATACAGTTGCTTTTTATGTTTTAAATTAACTCTTGTCTCACAATTTACATCATTTGGTCTAACTTTTTTCATTTTTGTAGTTGTGTAATACCCCCTATATATTAACACTCAATTCATACTATTATGGTATATATATTTTAAAAAAAGTCTGTTAAATTAAGGTTTTTCCACTATGAATATTTTTTTCTTTTAAATAAAAAAGGTTGATAACAATTAACAAGTAATAATTTGCAGCATTTTCTTTTCAATGATAAAATGATTAACATTTTGCCTAAATTTGTTTTTAAATTATAAATGCGGTGGTAAAAAGGTTTTTAAAAATCTGGAGGTTGAAGTGATTTACGTTTAAGTTAATCGTCCTATATGTGACGTTAAAGTGCATGTGACACTAAGTAATTATTTCTATTATGACGTCATCTTAATTATGACGTCATGGTAACGTCAATGTTTTGCAATGTTTTGAACAATCAGTCTAGATAAACAAGTCAACGTGATTAGATGTGTTTTTCATTCTATCTGACTCAACATTTGTTTTAAGTAGGCTGACTGACTCCTACATGTACATTTTGTTTTGTGATCTCGAGATATTAATAAGATAAATGAATTATTTTTTTCCAGAAAATCCTTGTTAGAACGCAGGTCAGTAATTAGTAATGGACTTTTCAAAAAAAAAAATAAAATGCAATCTGTGTTGGAAATGAAGAGAGTTTTGTATAAAAAGAATGAGAGAAATATGCATGTATGAAACTTCTGTAAAGAAGTAAAAATAGGACAATTCACTTTTTTTAAAGATGTATCTATATATGGGTGGTATAAAGCTCAATGACATTGACCTTGGTTCCCCACAACACAAACATATTTCCGGAATTACTCTTCTTTGTTGACATGTTATGTACATTTTCTTATTTTAAGATATCAATCAGGTGGCATTTCATGGAACAATCCACAATGCGGTGATTTTAAATTGTACATCAATATATATGTAGCATTTAAGCGACAGTAACAGATCCTTTCAGAAGCAAGAAGTATACCAATTAATGGAGCACAGAATATTTGAAAATCTAGAGATGTAGAGGTAATGTACGTGATTTTTTGCGAAGAAACAAAATTGGAAATCCGGGTCAATTTTTTTTATACCAACAGCAAGTTAGGTGTTTATTTTTTTTGGGGGGGGGGGGGTGGGTGTTTGTTTGTTTGTTTCTTTTTTTTTTTTTTGAGGGGGGAGGGGTGTTGTATTTGTGAATTTTAAAATCAGTAAGTTGCATACCAACAAAATTTTTAAAGCTATACAAGAAGCTTTGCATTTAAAGACGTTCTTTTACATGTATCAACGAACATTGAAATCGATATTTCTTAACAAAAGTGTTCAATGAGCAGTACAACAATATATCTTTTTAATAAATACACTGTACACTTGTAGAGAATCAATGTGTATTTCACTTGTACATACCTGAGCACTGTTTAGCATAAATATTGCCTCTTACATGTTTTATACATGTTATATTTCCGCCATGTATCCCTTGCAAAACATGCCGCATACTACAGTTTATGTATCGATTAGGGCTTTGCTGCAAAGGAAGAAGGTCGTATCCTTTAGCCGAGTCGTTAAAACGCTTTGTTTACAGTGAACATGTTAATTAAATTGTTAAACGTTGGCAGTTAAATGTACATGAAGCTATGATGATAGGGCAGAAAATGCTGACTTGCAAAAATGTGTATTTAAATGCGTAATTCGTCGGACTTAACAAATTTAACCAGATTTTAATTAAATACACACTCATTAGGGCCAGATCATTTAATGATAGTGATCGAAATATGCATTACATTCTTTTTAAAAGAATGTGGATAAAGTTGCAAGGGAATAAGATTCAATGCGTCTCTTGAATAGTTATTATAATTTACATAGCTGTTTTCTTTTTTCATTTTTTGAAGGAATGGATTACTTTTCTTTTTTTTAAATAAAAAAATTGTAAAGTGATATTTTGTTTTAAATCGGTTAGTATTGTCAAATTATCTGCTAATTTTTATCTAATTATGCCTATCAATCCGTGGTCAGTCAAATTCAAAAGACAACAGATATACCCTCATCATTTGTATTTATTAATGTATAGGTGATTTATCTCCCTACTGGCCACGTAGAAAACAAATCTCTTGATATGAAAATCATTTGCAAAATTATTTTATCAAAACTATTCTACACACAAGTATTTAGAAGCTGTTTCTGATTGGCATTATATATGGTGTTTGGAGACCAGGTCTTTCAACAATCTGTTGGAATTAATATTGGTACCAACTATTCTTGGACTTATATGAAGCAGAATTCATTCAACATTATATACATGAGAAAAAGAAACTACTTTCTGTGGTCTTTAAATTTACATTTAGATATATTGTCGAGATTATATCAAGAATACTTATTTCCCATTATAGGTTGATGCGATATATCCCAATGAGCTTAAAATTAAAGATACACCACAGTCTAACACAACAATTTTATACCTGGATATTTTAGTAGTAAAAGATCTTAAGAATAATATAACAATACAATTTTATGATAAACCTGATAACTTCAACTTTTCAATCGTCAAGAAACTTTCCTTAAATCACCAGCAATATACCATTTTTACCTGCATACGGGTTTATGTCATCCAGTTAATACGATTCACAAGAGCATGTTTTATGTATGAACAATTTCTAAAACGCGGCTAGTTACTGACAAACAACTTGATGAAACAAGACTATCAACAATCTCGACTCGTTTAAAGTCATTTTCAAATATCCATGATCCATACAATGTGCTCGTCAGCAAAAACAATCTATCATTAATTCAAATACTGATTGACGTTTTTATACTATTTTAGGCCATAATTTGCATATTGATTGTCAACAGATTTTTCTGATATTTCTCGATCATGACCAGGAGCATTCGGCGGGTATGACCGGTCGGCAAGGGATGCTCAGTCCTTCATGATACCCGGTCCTACCTCTGATGTTTTAGAGGTCCGTTTTTGTTTTGCTCCTACTTTGCATTGTTTAAAATGACATTTAAATACTGTTTGTTATATCCATATATTTCAATAACTCCCTTAACTCTGAAAAATATTTGAGAAATTTCTTACCGCAAAAATTCTTTACCAGTAGAGATTGGAAGATGGCATGGTATACAACTGTGTAATAGAATCTGTAACATTTCAAATAATGCTCAAACTGCTGATGAATTTCATTTTATCTTCGAAGATAAAACTTCAGCTAATGCAAGAAAAAATACATGGAGAATAATTATAATTATTTCCACAGAACGAAAGTTATTAAATTCATGGAACTAGTGTTAACTCAAAATGAAAAATTGCTTTTAAAAAGACTATGTGTGTTGATCATTTAAAGCTATTTCTGTTCTTAGAAACTTCATAAAGCATGAATTGATGAGAATTCCTTTCATAAAGAATCTAATAACCCCAAAAATTGGAAATTTGATTTTAAAAACCAAGCAGTTTAATATATATTTCCAAGTGTATGTTCTAAAATTGTTTTGTTTTGTTTTTTTCAGCAAGAGTATGATATCTTGAACTATTGAAAACCATTGACCCTTACCTCGTTCAGTGTAAAAGTAAACGATGCAGTATACACAAACATTAAGATCATTTTTGCAAAATGAATTTTTGGGGCTTTTTTCATGATGAACGGACAGAATTATAATGTAACGTATTATGATATATGTTTACTTGTATTACTTACATGTATGAGTTATTTTTCTTATTTTTTGGAAGTACGGTTTGTTTGTTTTGTTTTTTTTTTTTGTTTTTATTTCAGTTAATAACTGGAATATGACTG